TTTTGATCTTCTGCGCCAAGCCATCATGTGCCGTCCTGTGAGTACAGTCTTGAATATAGGGGCCACAACACTAATTGATGTTTAGGATTTGACAGCCGAACCTTTTGATCCCATTGTTGGGGGTGTTACGGGCTTTGGCACTGAACATCAATGTATCAACTGGCGAGATCTAATGGATTGGATGGTCGCCAATGAGTAATGAAGGACTCATCTAACAAGATGGGGGGGGAAAAGGGCATATGTGATTCACTGGTAAAATGTGCCCGTTGCTTACTTTTACTGTATTGAAGGCCGTGTAGTCTAATACGGTGGATAGATGGTAATGGTAGAACAAAGGTATCATATTTTTGTCTTCGGAGTCAGTACCATGGCCGGCAATTAACATAAAAGCCTTGCCGTAGCCAGGGAAGTATTTAGGTATCTACCATATGCAGTCAAGCCATAGAGGTCATGAGTACCTCTGCAGGTAGATATACTATAATGAGCCCCTGATGGCTGACTGGCTCTGACTGCTCCGTTAATCATCTCATCATCCTTCAGTCAGTCTATCACCAAAACGGATTCAACATACGTTCACGTACTCCTCAAAAACTACATTCCAGCGTGACTCGTGCTTGGTTGCCACTGTCGCCAAGACTTGGTAGGATACCCAGGGTCTGTGGAGTTATCAGCCATCGACCGATGTTGCCACGACCGAAACTCCGCTGTCCGTCGGATTGTAAATCTTTTTCCACGCTGGCACAGCTACCAACAGCCCTGTATGGAGGAGCTGAAAGCCGTCCCGTGGCCACTCCCGGGCATCACCAGGCATGGGCTCTCTGTACTACTCGAAGTCTTGGGGCTCGATTATCCTGCCTGGAAATCACCAGCACTACGTGATACCGTCATCATTGCTATCGATTTTGAAGGTACCAATACCATTAGAAGTGGGTTTGCCCTGGAGGACAATAGCCAAGTTGGATTCGCGATTCTCGATACCAAGGATCTTCGCCAGGTCCCACCAGAAAAGTCGATTTCGACCCTAAACTTCGCCACGGGGTCGTCATCATACGTCGCAAATGCGTCCAAAAGATTCATCTTTGGAGAGACTATCGCGATTCAGCCTTCAGCCATGCTATAAACTATTCAGTCACACATTCCCGAAGATCGCAATGTGATATTCGTCGGCCACGGTATCGTGAACGAACTCCATGTTTTACGCGCCTTGGGATTCAAGTTTGAGCTGCCGCCTTCCGGGATGCTGGATACGTCGCGCATTGCCAGCGAAGTGTTTGGACGCTGGCGCGGCTCTCTCGGTGACCTGCTGGGTGCGCTAGGGTGCCCTTTCGGCAGACTGCACGTCGCCGGAAACGATGCCAACTTCACTTTGAGGGCTCTTCTCCTCTTAGCGGAAAAGTGGTGCATCAGTCAAAACAAGTATGACGAGCTATTGGATATTTTGCACGATATCTCAACCTTTCCCTCTTATGTCGACCCCAAGATTGAAGCGGCAACAAAGCGGGAAAAGAGGCTGCTAAAGAGTCGGAAGCACCAGTCCAAGTCCTGGAGTACGGAGAAGCAGGACCAAATCCGTGCTGCTCGAGAAACAAGGCGGCTCGAGGCCTGGAGTATGTTTTAGCCCCGAAAAGCCTCGAGGCGGACGCCAAGATGGCAGTACAAAAAGAACACGGTTCTCACTCCATCCCCTCGCCAGTAATGACGCCAAACCCCGTCGCCGTCACGACCTTGATGGCAGTCGCAGACTCAACAATGCCATCATCGCCGGTACGTCAGTCGCGCCCCTGCTATTCAGTGTGGCCCGCCCGCGAACCCAACATAGATTATCGTCGACGTTCCGGCGCCTAGAGGCCGTTCGCGCTTTGCTTAAAGTGAAGTCGGGTTTAGCAGTTGCTCTTCATCGAGGCGTGCCGGAAACGTTTTCGCCGTTCGGCGCCGATGAGCGCGGAACGGTAGCAGGCTCTTAGTGAGGATTCTCGTAAATAAAAGGTCACGCTGCATCTGATATATTATATACAGAGAAGCAAACAGTTCTCCCCAATCTTGTTCTTCATCGATATCCCGCGCTGGCACCCATCATTTCCAATCAATCGATGCACTGCGACCATAAGAGCTCACCACGGCCACCACCACGGGCTCGACCGCTTCACGACCCAAACGCCGCGTTCGATGGTGTTGATGACGACGTAGCCGCTCTCGAAGTACGGGTAGTGGCTCCAGGTGCCTGTGTAGTTGTTGGCGCCGCCGCCGGGCTCGTTGTCGTCCTCGGGGAAGATGTCAAAGTAGGCAATCTCCCTGACGTGCCTGGCCGACGGGTCCCAGCGGACGGACGAGACGTCGAGGATGCGGAGGCCGGCGCCGTAGTTGCTCTGGTACGACAGGCCGCGGTGGATGAACTGGTTGTGGTCGACGCTGCGGACGGTGCCCTTGAAGATGCCGCTCTGCTTGGGCTCCTCGAGGGACCGGATGTCCCAGAAGTACGTCACCGGGAACCCGTCGGCGGCGGGGCCCGTCTTGTTCCGCTCGTCGATCTCGTCGTCCAGCACGAGGAAGTCCTGCCAGTTGGGGTCGAATACCCAGCCTTGGTGAGTGTAGGTCGCGCCCTCGTAACTGGTGCGGGATATGATGCTGGTGGAATTCTTATAGGTGACATCGTAGCTATCGAAGCGGTTAGCCCATCTTTCAAGAAAACGGATATGATATGAAAGGACGCGGGAAACGAACATCGTCAAGGTATCCTCGTTGTACCCGTAGCAGATATCACGGCCCCAGTACTTCACATCAGGCCCGCGGTAGACGATGCATTGAGCGTCGTGGACGTAGCCGTCGCCGGCAGCACATCCCAGGTAGACGGGGTTGGTAATGTCCTCGAGGTCAAGGAACTGCAGACCAGAGTCGCACGGTAAATTGCGACGAGGCTGGGCACCGACGGCAACGGCATAGCCCTTCTCCTCGTTGATCACGACATTGTGGCTGCGGCCAAGTGGCAGTGCCTCAATCCAGTGGGCTGTCAAGTCCTTCTCGTTAGAGAAGACGACTGGGTTCTTGGGATCAATGTCGAGAAGCTTCATCCTCATTAGCTCATCGCGATTCGCCGAACACTGGGGCCTGTGAACATTGGTGGCAAGTTCTCACCTTGCGCAAGTCAAAGAACTGGATGCCGTGGCCAGGGGCCTCGCTGCCAACAACCAGGTAGTTCTTGTAAGTCTTGATCTCGCGCCATCTGCTCGGCTCGGAGTAGTACGGCAGGGTGCCGAGGTAGACCAGCTTGCCGCTCTTGGAGATCTCCGCAAAGGCAGTGCCGTCTAGCTGACCGATTGCGAAGAACTCTCTGCCATTGGGCGCCGTCCAACCCCAGGAGCCCGAGCCTCTACCGGTAGAGTTACCGAAAGCCGCATGAGGCTGGAAATCGTAGAGGTCGAGCTGAGAGATGTGAGCCAATGTCCCGTCCCAAGATTGACCCAACCCCAAAGAAAATGCTTACATCCTTGCACCTGAAGGTCTGGAGAGGATCACCCTTGACGAGCTCCACCTTGCCGTCCTTGCAAGCAATATAGTCCTTGACGCGTCCCGTCCATTGAGCGGAGTCGAACTTCCCTTGGGCCTCGGCTTCCTCCCACTGGGCCTATGCGAAGTAAGCTGCCGAGCGGACATATGGGTCCATTCGACTGTCCGGCTTACAATCTTGTACTCCATGTTCTCCTGATGGGCAGCGCCGGTGTCATACCAAGACGAGAGCTCGGCGTTGGGCTCCAGCTCCCTGGCGATGGAAACCCCCGAGAGGGCGCCCATCGCAAAAACCAGGTACACGGTTTTCATGTTGTTGATGGGTGATTGAACGCGGGCAAAGCCAGAGATCGGACCCTGAATGTAGGGCAACACGTATCACAGCAAGACTGTTCGAGGATGAAGCAAAATAAAGGGCTTCGCTCCTGTACTTGTATTGCCCGTACATAGAAGTATGCCCGAAGCCAAGAAATGCGATATTTATTGCGCATCGCAAAAGTTCCAGAATGCAATGGTCGGCGGGGTTGCAACAAGCCTGCATGCGACACCTCAGCGGCTGCTATCATCGCGCAGGATCTGCAGAAGCCAAGCGATGGCGACAATGTCGTTCGAATAAGACCATTTGGAGGATGGTCTGTCCGCGATTACCGCACTTTAGCGGTTCTCCGATGCCGACTATCGTCTCATGGATCGTCTCTGCACCTGACTGGCTCAGATGAATGGGGAAGGTGGTTACGATGTCGCAAGCTCTTGGCACTATTCGTCAACCATCGCGGCGCTTTAGGACAGAGGTACTCTGAGAGTTCTGACTTCTTGGTCCGTTGTGCTGTCATGGCTGGTCAAGGTACCTCGGCCGTCGCCGAATCTTGCCGTGCCAAGTGTGAGATGGGGTTAGTATGTGCAGTAGGCACTTTGAGCCAGAGTGAAGAGCAATGGTACTGCAGGTGACGATGTCACAGTTCACAGAGCCAGTAATGCAACCATCCAGCTGTACAGACACAATGTACTTGGAAGCTGTGCAGGGGCCGTGACATCTTTCGGGGTCATCTGGGCCTATCAGATGGCTGTTCCGGTTCGCCTGCTCCTCTTGGAAGCAATCACGGTGTGGTTATTGTAAGCCTCGATAGATGTAACCAGTCTTCTGTGACAGGGTGGGAGACTGCCCCTGTCGGGTCGCACACATGCAGTACACGCGTATTGGTGGATAGAGCATAGTATGATTGATCGTGAGCGGTCTGCCATTCTATCAGATTGTCCTCCCATCCCGCAGCAGTCCCTCCGCGGCCGAGGACAGCCGACAAACACGTTTGCCGATGCATGGGTTAGGACTTTGAGGATGAAGCGACCCTATTCTGGCAGACTAGGGTACTGGTTAGTACAAGACGGTCCCTCATGAGGTCGACAGGTACAGAATCGTCATTAATCTCACAATCAGTCTGGCATCACCAGGCTTGAGATATAGAGCTTCCGACTTACCCCACCGTCCATGAACCCAGGGCAGAGTGCCAGAGTGGTTAATGGGTGTGACTCGAATTCGAATCGCAATCACATGGCTTCGGCCGCATGAGTTCAAATCTCATCTCTGTCGCAATTGGACACCAAACATTTTGTCGCTTGTAATATTCTTCCTCTCTCACTTATTGCAATTTGGTTTCTTTTCCCCCCCGTGTTTCATTTCAAGTTTAGCCCTGAATGATCGTCACCAACAGTGTTTTATACATAACACGTTTGTTTGGTTTATGAAAAAATGCGCTCGGTGTGTGTTCTCTACATCGAATTGGATACGCCATTATTATTGCTGCTGCGCCGCATCGACCGAGTAAAAGGTGACATTACCGACGCAGCTCGCCGCCAAAAGGAGAAGTTGTATGCGCCCCCCAACGTCGTATTGATCAGGTAACGGCGCGGTAATCTCGCCGATGATGATTTCAAGAGGTGGCCACATATACTCCAGCCTCACATTTCGAACCCAAGCGATATCTTTGCAACGTAAAATTCCAGCGCAACGTTATCGACGCGGCGCGAATCTCACTCTGTCAAACAACACCGCCGACGACCAGGATCGTCTTGGTCCGACCATGCCCCTCAGCCTACGATTCGCTACGCCGGCCGACGGCCCGGCCCTCGCCGCCATCTACCTATCAGCGTTCCACGACAGCCCGGTGGCGACAGCTTGTTTCCCTTCGACCTCCCGGGCGTGCCGCGACTTCCTCGCCGACTCCTTCGTCGAGGAGATAGGCAACCCCCGGTTTCAGTGGCTCGTCGTCACAGACGCAGGCTTCGAGGACGACCCCGACCTCCCCATCGCCTGCGCAAAGTGGGTGTTTCCGGCCAAAGACGGGGAGCACAACGTCGAGCCAGTGCCCCCGAAAGAGATCTGGCCAAAGGAGGGCAACCCGGAGTTTGCCGACCACTTTTTCGGCACGCTCGGGAGGAAGCACGGAGAGATCATGGGCGACGTCCGTCACTATTATCTGGAGCTCATCATTTGCCGGAGAGAGCACCAGGGCAAGGGCGCCGCCACTCCTCTGATGAAATGGGGCTGCTCGAGAGCGGATGAAGAGGGCGAGCTGGCGTTTCTGGAGGCCGCGGCCGCGGCCAGGCCCATCTACGAAAAGTACGGGTTCCGCACCGTTGATCGCGAGGATATGACGGCACCGAACGGAGCAGTGGTGTCGCAGTTTTTCATGCTCAGGGAAGGCAAGGCTGCCGAGGAGTTTAGGAGGGTATTGGCCAAGTCGGGCAAGTAAGTCGGCGTAGATGCATGTGCATTGACTTCGGGGTCCAAGTTGGGGATCTTGCCAGCATGTGGCGTAATGCATCACACAGTGGGCTACGATTAGATGAAAGGTTAACAAAACCCACAACGTTTGGAGGGGAACCTCGGAGCCGACATGCATGCTGTTTTAGGGCAGGTCATTGCCTCGTTACATGAACATATCATCGGAGCGAACGCGTGCGCTTGCTTGCTCGCCGCTTAAGTTACAATTCTCGGAAAGGTTCGACTCACTCAGGAGACCCAGGAGTTCTTGCGAGATGTATCGAGCCATAAGTTTGAAGGGTAATGAATTTCACGTGTCACAACAGTCAAAGGGGTGTAGTGTACATGCTGGTGCACGGAGACGACAACAGCGACAATTCCATTTTGGTCACCGCCTACAATAGCGAGAATCATCATTTGCTGTGCTGAAATCGCTCGCGTTTCCTAGGTTACCAGATTGACAAAACGACGTGTGCGTTTTCATCATGCTTGTGTTGTTGTGCTGGCTCTCTCACCAAGTTATCTCGTCTCTCTTTGGCGCTTACATTCAAATGTTGTTTTCGAAAAAGCTTTTACCGACGACTCAAAGATGTCCGATAAAAAGCAAACCCATTCGCATCTTATCTCAATTGCCTTGTGTAGGGTTGCATTCACAACGGATCTCCAGCCTGGGTCCCTCATCTCCCGGTCGAGGTGGATAAAGAGCGGGAGGCTTGGTGGGTTTTCCCCGATGCGAAAATGGTCCTTCTCTTTCATTGTTCCAAATAAACAGATTGTTCTTGATTCGAGATTTAAGCTCTCGAGTTTTAAGCTCTTTCACTCAGGGGCACATACAAGGTTCCCCCCCGATCCCTCGTTGAATTGATTGTTTTCTACATCGTACTAGGAATCGTGTGGCATTGGTAGTAGAAAGCCTGAGGCCACGGGCTTTACAGCACCTGTAAAATTCCGAGAAGTATATAGCTCCTGACCCGCCCCGGATCTCACACCATAACAACAACCCTGGCGACTGTTGCACCATGGCCAGCGACCCTTTCAAAGTCATCATTGTCGGCGGCGGCCCAAGCGGCATGACCGCCGCTTACGCCCTGCACCATGCTGGCATCGACTTTGTCGTGCTCGAGCGGAGGACGAACGTCGTCGAGGATCTCGGCGCGAGCCTGGTCCTCGGGCCTCAGAGCCTGCGCGTCTTCCACCAGTTCGGCATTTCCGACCAGCTCGCCGAGATTGGCGCTGAGGTATTGGAAAATAGGGCCCTCACAACCGACGGACAGGTGTTCAAGTCTAGCAGGTTCTTCGATGTCATCTTTCAACAGTGGGTTTCCCCTCATTCCTTGCATCGCGGCTGCCGGGTGTGCGCTCGCTTATTTACGCGTTCAATCGCACATACAGCCACGGCTCTAGGCCTCTCGCCTTCCACAGGGCACATCTCATCCAGGTCATGTACGACAACCTCCCGGAGACCGCGAGGGCGCGCTATTTTACGGGAAAGAAGCTTGCTGGCATTGAATCGACAGATACGGGGGTAGTAGTCACCTGTGAAGACGGGTCATCTTACTCGGGTACTGTCGTTCTTGGAGCAGACGGCGTACACTCGTCCACCCGCCGGCAGATGCGCAAGCTCGCTATTGCCGAGGACCCCTCTCGCGAAGAGACCTGGGATCATGTGATGCCATATAATATTGACTATCAGTGTCTGTGGGCCTCCTTCCCACGACCCTCCGAATCCGGCTATAGTATCGAGACGCAGAGCACTGATAAGTCCGTCATGTACATAAGTGGCACAGAGCGCGGATGGCTCTTCCTCTACGAAAAGCTCCCCGAGACAACGAGAGAGCGAATCACTTTTTCAAACGAGCAGCTCGAGGAATTCGCCGCGAGATTCGCCGACTGGCCCGTGACGGAGACGTTGAAGGTGAAGGACGTTTACAAGGAACGTTTCAACGTCGGCGGCGCAGGCCTCGAGGAGGGCATATGCAAGAACTGGAGCTGGAACGGCCGCGTCGTCCTCGTCGGCGACGCCGCGCACAAGTTCACGCCCAATGCGGGGCTGGGCTTCAACAACGGGATCCAGGATGTCGTTATACTCTGCAACAAGCTGAAAAGGTTCCACGCCGCCTCGCGGGCACCCGGCGAGAAGGCGACAGGGGCGGCGACAACCGACTTCTCGGCCCTGGATCGCGCCTTCAAGGAGTATCGAGAGGAGAGGCAGGAGCAGCTGCAGGCGGATCTCAAGGGCTCGGTCCGGGTGACGAGGATGCACGCGTGGGCGTCGTGGTTAGACTGGTTCATGTCCCGGTACGTCTTCTCGTGGGAGTTCGTCCAGAGGTTCTTGTTCACGTACATGTCATCGCCGCTGGTGCAGAAGTCGGCCGTCTTGGACTTCATTCCCACGACGGAGCGGTTTGAGGGCATCTATAAATGGCTGCATCCAACCCCGAAGATCGTCACCGACAGCCCGGCTATGTAAAAAGTAAGAAGGAAAAACCCCCGGTAGGCTGTTTCCTGTAGAACGAGCATAGCGTTTTAGCGATGCATGATTTTCCGTACAGACTTGACATACATTCTCACCTCCTTTTCACTTGGCTGGTCTAGAACACATTGTTACGATGTGCGTTAGTGGCCCGCGGGCGTATGTGTGCAGTTGGGGCCCGGAGATGCCCTCGTGAGAGAACAGGCCACCGACTAGATCAAACTATGGCTTTCGATCTCATACGATGGCAGACTTAGGCTCGGAATCATTTTTGACCCATGGATAGCCTAGGACAGGATGGTAGAGATGCAGTCCATTGTTCTGATTGAGGCTCTCGGCAGTTCGGGTCAAACGGTCCTGCTTGCTTACTGAGATCAGTTGTATCTGTAGCAGCTAATATTACAACGGAGCAGAGTCCATTAAAGTTGACAAGGGTCCCTACAGCGACGGTGATTCAATGTTCTGTTCTAAGCCGATACCACAGCAGGGGGGTAGGGGGTGCTGGAGGGCCTTCGGTCTGGTTGGTTTACACTAGGGTACAGAGAGGTGCGTTCGACTTTCATTGCTACATTCGTTCCCTTCAGAGCAGATGCATTATTGAGTCATGTACAATACTTATTGTCCGTGGGGGGTTTCCAATCACTTGCTCACGCCCAAGCTGTCTGGACAATAGACATCCACAGCGAACGTGCACGCAAGGTATGTTACAATGACATGGCTTGCAACCTGGAATAAAGGAGACTGAATATGGATACTGTGATCTTGGGCAGGTCGACTTCCCGGTGTGGATGCATACGCTTAACCGCTACGCCGCCACCACAACGATTGCCCAAAGGCTCCGGATGAACAGCCCAAAGAAACTTGGGGACGCTGCCAAGGCACCGAGAAGCACAGCTAATTGGCCCAGCACGTACCGGACTGTTGTCAATGACAGGCAGCGGGCCTTGGAACTTCCCCAACAAGGCCGGCACGCGTCATCTCACGGGCTGGCAGTCCAGTTGACTTGCTAGGACTCGTGGTCTCGTGGTCAGGAAGGCAGAAACTGGTTTTTGAGGAACCAGTATCCCGCTTAGGAACAAATGTTAGTGGCTCATTGTTGTCGTATAAGTCGACGAGATCGAGGCATATTGTAAGCTGTTGTATTCGCTCATCTTAGTCTTTAGCAACATATAGAATGCTCATCTCATCGGGCTGTATTTGACGAGTAAAACTACAGAGGCAAAGAGGTGATCACTAAAACCCACCTGGCAACGCTCTACCCGCCACCATGCATCTCGCCAACATTTGCCTATTCTTATTTACCATCCTGTTTGCGTCCGCCCAGACGGTGGTAACAATTACACAAGGGCCACCG